TTAAATCAGAATCAGTAGCTTATGAAATTTCCCAACATTTCATGTTTAAGTATATCAACACCAGGATGGAAACCTACATCCCCTTGCCTTCTAAGTCAAAGTTCAGAATTTTCTTGGCATTCCCTAGCTTGTATTATTCTATTATAAGACTAGCTGATATTATTGTGAATGAGTGCATGTGTCTGGGTGGGAGGGTGACAGATTTTAGATGAATAATATTAAGCCAGACAGTACTGGTCTTCTCAACATAGTTACAACATGAGGTTTACATTTTCAACCAAAGAAAATTTGCTACTCAACAATTAAACAATCTATTCAAAAGGAATGAAAAGGATTTATTTAAACCGACTTTTCTCTCTCCAGTGAAATCAGAGTATTGTTCAGAAGACCAACATTACTGGTAGATCATACCTTATAGTGAAATGATCCTAAGACCTGTGAAATATCATGTTTCTCCCTCCCACCATCTATGTCTAAAATAGAAAGTGCCTCCTTTTCGGTTTAATATAACCATGGGCTATGGCCTCATTTGTTGATGGCTCTTGGTTTCTGGGGAAGGAGCCAGGCTTTGGGCATGCAGGACAATGCCTTTTCTGATACACCCAGCACTTACTGCCATTTTCTTCATATGGGATCTCAGCTGACCCCCTTTGTCTCTGCTGCTGTTTGTGAGTCCTTCCTCACAGTTATAGAAATTTTTCATCAAGATCCCCCCAGGATGTGTTGCCACAGAAAGGAGGCTTCATCCTGAAATATTATCTGTGTAGGGAGTAACCGAGCTATGCTTCACCTAGGAAGGAACCTTTAGTGCTACTGAATAGAGGTAAGTGTTTCATGCTAGCAACGTTATGACAAAGGTGATACAAGAGCTTTTGGATAATTTTGGTACAAGTCCCTGGGACTCTAGAAGCACCAGACCTGCACATTACAAGGCAAACTGCTTAACCACATTCCTGCAGAAGGTTTACTCTTTACAGAACGCACAGTGAAAAAAAAATGTAGGTTCACCATCCAAAGATTCTCATGAAACAAATAGATAGTTTATATCTATAAGAACACACTGAGGGCTGCTCCTAGAATATAGAACTTGTATCCCTGAATAGGGTGGAGAGATCTTAAACTAATTATTCAAATTGTAATGACTTCAACCTTTGTGGTTTATAAGTTTCGTGGGTATCAAGTAGTCTTTGTAATCATAGATAGCACTGAAGGTTTTCTTCAAATATTTAGACAAAGTAAAGAACTAGATGAAACGTCATAGAAGTCAGCATGTTACAAGAGAGCAGCTGAGACTACAAAAATAGTAAAAATTAAAACCATGTAAAATAAGCAGTAGAATCATAGTAAGAATAAAGGAAGAAGGTGTATTTTGGATTTTGGCTTAGAGTTTGTAAAGGTTTCATCTATGACTAATTAGACCTGCTATTTTGGGCCCTGTAGTGTGGCAGAACAGACTGGCAAGAAAAATGTGGCAGAGCTGAATTGCCCATCTAATGACAGTGAAGAAGGAAGAGATAAAAAGAGGGGAGAGAGAGAGAGAGAGAGAGAGAGAGAGAGAGAGAGAGAGAGAGAG